TTCAACAAATGTGTTGCTGGAGAAAGGGAGAGGGAGAAGGGCAAGTGGGGAAAACCATAGATTACAAAAGACTTACTTCAATATGAAGCAGCCTGTGAACTTGCATTAGTTATCTTACTGCGTAACAAATTACCCTAACTTAAACCTAAAAATATTTATATACTTTCTTAGAGTTTGGGGTCCAGGGGTAGCCTAGCTAGGTATTTTGGCCCAAGGTCTCATAAATTTGCAGTCAAGATGTTGGTTGGTCTGTAGTTTTCTGAAAGTTTTACTGGTGTTAAGAGGATCCACTTCTCAGAGGACTCATTCATAGAGCTGCCTGAGTTTTCTCACAATATGGCAACTAGCTTTCTCCAGAACAGGGGATCCAAGAGATAGGACAGAAACCATGATCACTCAAAGTGATATACCATTACTTCTACTGTATACTGTTAGTCATAACCCTGATAATATATGGGAGGAGATTACACAAGGGCATGAATACCGGGAAACTGGCTGTCACAATTTGGCCCCAATGATTGACAGGTCTTGATTCGCAAAATACATTCATCCCCTCCAAAAGCTCTCATCTTATTATACCATTAATTCAAAGCCTAGAAATATAAATCAGGTCCAGTTATGTATAACACTCGTAGGTGTACTTAAGTACAGCTCCTTAAGAAGAGCTCTTTTTGATCTGAAGACCCAAACGCTAAAGACATAGCCTCTGCTTCCACATGAATAGGATAATAAATGTAGACATGTATATTTAAAAAGTGGGAACACTGGAGGTACATAGGTTCACAGAAATTCTGAAACCCACCTGGGCACAAATTGGCAGTTCCTTGGTTAGGATTCGAGGCCTAGAATTTTCTTAGCTCTGCCTTCTGGTATTTTGGACTTACTCATTGAGTCACCCTTTCTTTTGCTTGTTTACAGTTCTGCTTACTCTCTACCTATAGAAGCTTGGATGTCCCACAAGCCTCTTTTCATATGGTACTCTGTGCCTTTCAGTTCAGGCTGGCAGTATTCCTGCTAATAGACTTCTCTTAAAAACTTTTTGGCTCACTTGTGAATTTTGAGTGTAAGTTCACTCCATTAGACAAAAGCAACAAACACACATCTCTTCCACATAAACTTTTTTCTACCTCAGGCTTTTGCCAATGAAAACACCCTTAGACTTTTTAAAAAACCTGTGATGTTATTCAGAGATTTTCTGAGACACATCTTTTGTCTGAATGAAAATACTCTGAGGCACATCTTAAGATCTTTCTGAGGTATTAAGGGACTTTATAACCTCAACTTCATGTTTCATTGGCAGTGCCCTGGATTTGCTTTTTGCTCAGAGACATTCCCTAATTTTAGTATCATTTGTCATCTGCACAAGCTGGGAATCTTCAAATCCAGCAAGTTTTGACTTTTTTTTTTTTTTTTTAATAGAATCAGGTTTTTGCTTTGTTGGTCAGGATGACCTTGGACTCCTGGCTTCAAACATTTCTCCCACCTCAGCCTCCCAAGGTTCTGGCATTTTAGGCATAAGCCACCATGCCCAGCCATGACTCCTTTTTGTTTAACAGTCCTTCCTTTGACTTTCTTTCTCCTCACACATTTTACTATAAGCAACAAGAAGAAAAACCACATGAAATATTTAACATTGATTTTTTGATATTTAACATTTGGCTGGCTATCTCCTTTGTTAGATCAACCAGTTAATTAGGCATATTTTCTTCTTTGCACATAGCTGTGAGTAATGAATTTGCAAACTTTTTGCTACTATGTAACAAGGATCTCCTTCCCTCCAGTTTCCAGTAAGAGTTTTCTAATCTGTTAAGATGTCACCTGCAGCCTCCTCAAAGTTATCTATTATGCTTCTATAAATGTCTTCAAGGCTCTTCAAAGTTTTATTAACACTCTCCTCCAAGTTGTACCTTCTGCTCACTGCCAGTTCCAAAACCACACTTAAACATTTTAAGTTTTTGTTAACACCCCACTTCCAAGTATCGAATGTATACTAATTTTCTATTGCTGCATAACTGCCTCAAAATATAATATGTAAAGCAATAAATATTCCTTATCTCATGTAGTGTCTGAAAATCAAAAATCCAGAAGCAGCTTAGCTGAATGGTTTTGGCTCAGTGTCTCTTGTGAAGTTATCAGTCAAACCACCACTTGAAATTGCAGTCATCTGTTGTTTTAACTAGTACTGGATGATCTATTTTGACATGCTATTGGCAGGATGCTTTAGTTCTTCACTGGCTATTTAGCAGAATACCATGCTTCCTCACCACATGTACCTCTTCATAGAGCTTCCTGGCTTCCCATAAAACAGGTAAATTTCTTTCTCTCGCCGAGAGAGAAAGAAGCAGAAGCCACCATGTCTACAAGTCCTTTTCGATGTAGTCCCCAAAGTGACATATTATTGCACAGATATGTGACCCACCTGTCAGTCACTGATATGGTTTGGATGTGTGTCCCCTCCAAATCTCATGTTAAAATGTGATTCTCAATGTTGGAGGTGGGGCCTGGTGAGAGGTGTTTGGTTCGTGAAGGTAGATCCCTTATGAATAGCTTGGTACTGTCCTTGCTGCAATGAGTGAGTTCTCAGTATGTGAGTTCACACAAGAGTTGATTGTTTAAAAGGGCCTGTCATCTCTTATGCTTTCTTTCCCACCATGTGATACGCTGCTCCCCTTCCCTTCTCCCATGATGAAAAGCTTCCTGAGGCCCTCACCAGAAGATGCTTGTGCTGTGGTTCTCCTACAGCCTGCAGAACTGTGAGCCAAATAAAGCTCTTGTCTTTATGAATTACCCACCCTCACGTATTGTTTTATAGAAACATAGAACAGGCTAACACAAGACGCACACACCAACCCAGATGCAGTATGAGAAGGGATTATTGGGTGCCATTTTGACGGTTGTCTACCACAGGATTTTATCTGTATCATGATTCAAATTTCTTCTTCTTAAAGAGCACATTAACAAAATGTTGAGTAATAAAACAATTCACAAAAGAATTCTACAATAGGATTCCACTTATATAAAGGACCAATGAAAGTAAATATCTTCAAAGTACAAACATAAGACGTAAATCTATAAATTAAAGCAAAAGGATGGTAAGCACAAATTCAAGACAGTGATTTCCTCTAGCTACAGAGGGAAGGGGATGAAGTAAGGAAGGAGTGAACAAGAGTATGATAATTGTATGTATTGGTTTGGCCACACAGTCCGGGTTTGCCTAGCACAGGTCTAATTTGCTGATTTCCTGGTGTAATGACTAACATCACTGTCACTCCCAAAATTGTTACTGTTTGGATAATAAATTATATGCATCCCTTTTACAGTAAAAGTAACTTTCTTCTCCTTAAACTGGATGGAAGGCATGTGGGCTTTATCATTCTTCTTTATATCATACATGTATTTTTAAAATGTCATTTAAAACTATTCAGTATTTTAAAATATAATTAAAAACTTTAATCAGTGACAAGACAGTAAAACAAAGTTAGTATTTAAGATAAATAAATGTAGATAGGATCCCAATGAAACTCTTTTCATCGGGGTGGATACAGGGATAAATACCATACTATATGCCTGGCATTGTATTAAGCTTGTTACTGATATTAAGCTTGTTACTGATATTACTTCATATTTATAGCAAGACTTTTAGGTAGGTATTATTATCTCAATTTTACACATGAAGAATCTGAGACACAAAGATTATGTATAATTTAACCAAAGTCATATCATATGTGACAGGGCAGAATTTTAACCCAAGCAGTGTGATATCAGACTACATGCTTTTAACTACCGTGCCAGAGTCTGTAACGGACCTTCTTAACCTTTTTTTGTTTGTTTTTGCCACGGATCCCTTTGACAGTCTGGTAAAACCTATAGAGTCCTTATTAGAGTGATATTTTTTTGTACATCAAATACAATGCACAAGATTATAAATAAAATCAATTATACTATATGGTAATAAGAATATTTAACAAATGTATACTATAGATGTGCTTTTTATTAATGCATTAAGTAGTTAAATAATAAAATCTAACAGGCCTCATGTACAATTTTGAAGTAATACTAATTGTATCTTCAGATATCTACAAATATAATAATGTGATAGGAAAATGTGATTTTTACAATTGAAAAAGTCACCAAAATACTTGGAATGACACTGGGGTTTTTTGCATATGTTCACAATGAAAAGAAATACTAAATCTTAAAAGCTTGCAAAAATTTTAAGTATAATATTTTCCAACCCCAATTCCTGGTCCTCTACTTTATGATCTTATTTCATAGGCTTTCTGACATCTTTCGCTTCAAAGAAGTCATAATCCCCATTCCATTTCCTATTTTCTGCTTTGAGATTACACTCAAGACGTGATATACAAATAGATTAGTTTATCAGAAAATATTTTTCCACACGGCAAACTTGAGTGGGGGCTAACAAATGGGAATGTGCTAAAATAGCCATGTGTACATATAGACAGTGGGAAACGTGGAACTGCATTAGTGTTTTATACAGAAGATTTAAAACTAATTTCAGCTGTGCATTGTGGCTCGGACCTATAATCCCAGCACTTTAGGAGGCTGAAGTAAGAGGATCGCTTAAGGCCAGGAGTTTAAGACCAGCCTGGACAACATAGTGAGACCCCCATGTCTCACTAAAGTTACAGAATTAGCCAGGCATAGTAGCTCACAACCAGGAGGATGGCTTGAGCCTGGAAGGCTAAGGCTGTAATGAGCTACGATCATGTCACTGCACTACAGCTTGGGCAACAGAGTGAGACCCTGTTTCAAAAAAAAAAAAAAACTGGTTTCAAGCATTCATTGCTACTTTGCAATTCTCCATAAAGGAATTATTGTTGATAACACAATGCCCTCAGTACACTATTTGTTAATACCTGTAGCAATGCAACAATCAAAAGAGAAAATTTAACAGGATCATGTTAAAAGTTTATTGGGCTAAAATCAAATCATCTGACAAGTTTTTGACTTGCCTTTCTCATGATTTAATGTCCCAGCAGAGCAACTGGGGAACCTAATTCTGACCAACAAGGAGGAATTGCTTGGCTAATTGGAAGTGACAGAAACCTTGGGAGAAAGCAACCACATACCAAGGATAATTATAAAAAGGTAACATGGGCCCTAAAGGATAGTGTCAAGAAACCTGAAACCCCAAATGAGATGAGACTTGCAAAAAATGCTAAGGGAGGATGAAGAACAGGCCTTTTAAAATTCTGCTCAGAACCAGAAGATGATCAAGAAAGGGAAAAGCCCACTAGCAGCTTCTAGTGTAAGGTTAGAGCTGACAGAGAAAGAACTCCTTAATTGTTATTTGCTTCATTCTCGACAAAGGAAACTAGAAAAGTGGGTTGACATAATAGAAAGAACATGTGTTCATGGAATAAGGCAAACCTGGGTTTAATTCTGTTTCAACACTGTTAAACAAAATTTATGGGAGGCTGTTGTTTTGGATTGGGCTCCTGTGCTAGGCCCCTCTAGACCAAACCAAAATGGAGTCACTCATAAAACTCCGGGTCACCAAACCAAAACTAAGTTGTTTATCTGACCTTCCAAGAAATCGGGAGAGAGAAAACAACCAAATCTTCCAACAGGCAGTTTTAGTCAGCATGATAAGGAAGGTTTCTCTTTTTTAATCCTATAAGGAAAGTAACTTTTTGAAATGATCAATACACTTTTTATTCCTTAGTTCTGCTTTCTTTAGCAGAACTTTTCTGCCCACTTCTTCTGCTCAAATAGTTACCATGTCTGGTTAATTATTGAAACACCTATTCTATTTTATAGAACGAGATGCTGCCCAATTCTAAAATCACTAATAAAAATCAATTAGAACTTTAAATTTGCTGTAATTTTGTCTTTGACAACATTACTAGTTATATTACTCCGGGTATCTTTTTCCTTATCTGTAAAATGGACATAGTGATACATTTCCCATAGAATTTGTCCCATTAATAGAAGTAATATATTCAAAACACTAAGCCAAGCTCACAACCAATAGCAACTTGTTAATATTACTCAAAAGCATAGTGTAGATATTGACAGAAAGCAATACTGTTCCTAATTAGGGGAAGAAATCCTAAGAGAGTACCTAACAGTTTGAATTTAGATTATAACATTTTCTCTGAGTGTTTTGCATTACAGGATTTGGGGGAAAAAGTACAAATGGGATGGAGAACAGTGGTACCCATCTTTGAGGAATTATGGAAAACTAATAGAACACTAAACATGGGAAAATATCTGCCTTCAGGTTGAAAAGTGGAAATCTCAATCCCTGAATTTTTTTGTTTTTACTAAGTGACTTTTCTGTCCATTGGTGTCATTTAACCAAAAGAAGAAGAAATTTTAAAAAAATCATCTGAAACAAAGGAATAGATTGAATTTTCTTAAAATGGAGACATAAGTCTTCAAAGCTAAAGTGATGAGGAAAAAACAGGTCTTGAATTTCTTCAGAGCTTCGAGAGGCAAAGCTTGAAAGAAGGAAAAAATTGCATTCTTAAGTAAGATGTAGGGAGTTGAATGATGGCTCCCCCAAATGGTAAGTCTTCCTCCTAATCCTAGAACCTGTGGATGTTACCTTATTTAGATTAAAAGGTATTTGCAGATATAATTAGGGACCTTGAGATGAGGAAATCATCCTGGATTATCTGGTGTGCTGAAAAGCCAATGATATGTATTCATATATGACAGAAGAGAAGAGGAGAGGGTAGTTGTGACCATGGAGGCAGAGAATGGAGTAATGTGAAGCTGGAGAAGGCCAAGAACGGACTTTCAATCCTCCCGCAGAAGTACAGCCCTGCTAATGTGTTGATTTTGGACTTCTGGCCTCAGAATTATAAGAGAATAAATTTCTGTTGTTTTAAGCCATCAGTTTGTGGGTAATTTGTTACAGAAGCCCTGCAAAGTTAATACACAGAGTTTAAAGAGAGTCCAGTAATATCTCTAAGAGACTTCTCTATTAGTCAAGGTTCTCCAGAGAAGCAAAACCAATAGAATGATACATGTTGTTAAAACAAATTAAAATGGAGACCAACCTGAATGAAGAATCCCTGTGCAGACAAACCCAGTTAGGCCTCATAAGTTAACCTTGCTTGATTTGCAAACATAATCTAAAACTTAACTTGAGCTATTTCCTGTAAATTAACATATTAAAGAAACAGAACTTAAGCTCAATCAGTCAGAAGCAGCTTTATAATTATGTAGCTAGGGACTTTACAAGAGGATGACCAAAGAAGGAAATGATGTAACTGTAACCAATCAAATATTTTCTTTGCTTTGCTTTCATGTTTTTTCTGTAAAAGCCTCCACACTGCATTCCTTCAGTGGAGCATCCAACCCACTTCTGGTTTAGAGTTGCCCAATTTGTGATTACTGTTTGCTCAAATAAACTTAAAATTTTATTTACCTCAGTTTATCTTTTTTAGATAGGTAGGTAGGTAGTTGTATAGATAGATAGATAGATAGATAGATAGATAGAGATAATAGGAATTGGCTCAGTCACAGAGACCCAAGATCTGCCGTCTGCAAGCTAGAGAACCAAGAAAGCCAGTGTGTAATCAAGTTCAAAGGGTTGAGAACCAGGGGAACAAATAACATCCAATGTAAGGCCTGAGAATGTGGGGTGAAGATGCTAGTAAAAGTCCTAGAGTCTGAGGACTGCAGAACCAGGAGCTCTGATGTCCAAGAGCAGGAGAAGATGGAGGTCCCAGCTCAAGAAGAAAGCAAATGCACCTTTATCCTGCCCTTTTTGTTCTATTTAGGCAGGCCTCTAATGAATCAGATGATGCCCACCCACACTGGTAGAGCAGAACTTTAGTCAGTCTATGGATTCAAATACTAAAAATTTCTTCACAGAGGCACCCAGAAAGATTGTTTTGTCATCTATCTGGACATCTGTTACCACAGTCAAGTTGACACATAAAATTAACCATCACAATTAGATTTTCATGGGCTGGAGGGAATAGAAGATAATTAAATGGGTTCTGGAGGGTAGAGAAGAAGGTCTGAGGGTCTTCTTGGCAGGACTTTGTGAACCAGAGTGGAATGAGCAAATTGCAAACCCCACAGTCTCTGCTCTGACAGAGATTGCCAGAGTTTGAAAAAGACCTGGTGGGGTTACCACAAGTTACCAGAACCAGGAAGTCATGTGGCAGCCAAGCTAATATCCAGAGATTCCTCAAAGAGTATTTCATGAGATCAGAGTTGACAACTGTTTCCCACTTCCCATCTCCTTCACATGGATAAGGAGTCACAGCTACCTGTATGCAGATACTTTACTCAACTCTGTCCAAACTACTAATAGGAAAAAGTACTTTTTCAGTAGTCCAAGTTGTCACAAACCTTCAGAAACACAGAAGAGATTATGGACATCTACAGGGGTGCCAGTGATATAAAATGACAATCCATAGCACATGGAAACCCTCCCAAATAAATAATCTTTATTTGACTAGGATTGTATTCATTCAACTGAGATTTTCTAACACCCCTGATAACCAACCAGGACCATGTTGATCCTAGGCAACAATATAAAACAAATAATTTAAGGATGCTCTGGGAGCATCTATAAGAGAAAGCAGTAATCAGTTGAATACACCACAGGTTTATCTATACTAATTTATTTCAGTTTAATTTAATTTTCTTCCTGATAGAGTTACTAGGATACTCACCAATAAAATCCATAGGTAACATTTATCGGTACCCATGAAGTATTAGTGACTTCTTAAAAAAGTAATATCCTTGTGAGTAAGTTGGAGGGGTTGGGGAGGCTAGATGATAGTACTGTCAGAGAAGGACTTAGCATCCAAAGGATACTGACTCCCAGATGGCAGTCAGCCTCTCCAGCGGTTTTTAGTATAGATTCGCAGTCCTGGATCATCTTGTATTTCATTGACTTAAATGAAGAAATAGAATACATATTTATCAAATTTTTACCTGATTAAAAATCAGGAAGGATAGTATTTTTTCCAAACTTTGGAACAGTTTGATATTGACTCTGGGCTAAATCCTATATGGGCGTAATTAAAATCAATAAAATTTTGAGAGTCTATGACAATATAGGCAGAGTCTAACAAACTAGTAGGATTTTTATGTTTATTCAGTCATTTAGATGTCACAAACTTACGGAATATCTACTCTGTGTAAATGTCTATGTTAGGCTTTAGAATACGAATACGGTATATGGGACTGCAGGAGTTTAAAATCTGGTGAATAAAACAAACTTGTAAACACATAAAATATAACAAATATTAACTGTAAGGCATCATATTTAGTAAAAAGTAAAAAACAACTACATTTAATTGTATGATATTGACAGGCACCAGCATATGTGAAATACCTTTAGACATTTAACAAGCTGGAAAAATAATATTTACCATAAACATATATTACTGGTGCAAACATAAAATAGTAATTTTGTGGAAAGTTATTATGTACAAGCTATACTGTTTAATGCAGCATTTTCCTTCTAAGAAACTACTTTAAGAAATAATCTAAAATATATTCATAATGTTATGTATTTAAGGAAGTTTATAATAAAATTATTTAAAATGCCAAAAAAGTTTAACACAAATGATTAAAAAGATATGATATAGCCATGTGATAGTGTCATAATCATAAGGATTTATGTCTCTAAAAATGGGTGTTTGAAATATTATGTCACATTATAGAATAGCATATTATAATTGACTAGAAATCTGGGAAAAAATGATACTTTACTGTATAAATTCGAATGTTTTGAATGTTGTGCCATGTGCATGTAACACATTCAAAAAATAAACACAATTTTAAAGGATTCAGCTTAAAATTTTAAAAATACATTTACAGATAGTTTTTAATGACATAAAGAAATACTCATGATAAACTAAGTGAAAGGCAAGGACATTACATTATTTCTTTCAGTAGATATGAATAATTGGAAAATGTATAGACTCTGGCTATATGCTAGGAATATTTTCCTCAGTATTTTGTACCATAGGAAATCTAGAACTAGTTTACATAAAAGCAAGCAGAATGGTGAAGAAGCTCACCTTAATGGTTGAATGAAAATATAAATGTTTAGCCTGGAATATATATATGTTAGATCATGATGACTGTCTTCAAGTATCTGATGTCCTGCCATGTGAAAAAGTGATTATGCTTCTATTGGAAGGTCTCGGAGGATGGAACTAGACCCACTGGTAGGAGCTATAGCAAGCCATTTCAACTCAACGTCAAAATACTTGCAAACTTACTCACTTGTTTATATGTCATTTCAGTTCAATGTCAGGAAGCACATCCAAAAAGAACAGTGCAAAAAATGAGTGGCTTCCCAGTCACTTGAAAGATTCAAGCATAAATTATCACTTACTTGATAGGACATTATGGAAGAGATTCAAGCATCAGAAGTGTGGTTTTTGGAT